TTTAAATTTTTGGGACTTACAATCTCTATGCATTTTTTTTAAAGATGCATAAAGCAATAACATTAAAAGAAAAAAAAAACACACCTAATACAAACTAATAGCATCACATTCCTCTTTTAGCAAAAGAAAAATGGAGGAATGTGTTCCAAACTAATATCATCCCAAACAAAGTTACCATTAAGAGCATAGTAAGCACAACCATCAGCTAACTTATTGCAATCCATATTCACACAATTGAAAATAACATAATTAAACTCTTTGACAAATTAAAAAAAAAAATCTAAACCAAACTCCGGTTCATGCGAGCTCATCCTCTTGATGTTTTTTTGAATGCTTTTAATAACATTTGCATTGTCTCCTTCAATGATAATACCTTTGTATTGAGTCATCCATTCTTTAATAATACCTTTTAAAGAGAAAATAGCTTCCATTTCAAGCCGAGCAATATCCTAATGAATACCATTGAAACCAAATGCAAAAAAAAAAACTCCCTTTATGGTATTGGTAAATAGCTCCAATTCCAGCTTTATAAGAAGATAAAAAAGACCCATCAACATTGATTTTGATCCAATCGGGTGGAGGAGGATGCCAACATTTATTAAATAACGGAAATAGTTGATTAACATCCCATAAACCCGAATTATTTGTATTGGACAAAGAAATAGAAGACATTCCAAGAACATTAGAATCAATATTTAAATTACTATCCTCCTTATCTTCATGAATAAGTGTATTTCTAGACTTCCAACAAAGAAACATGGAAGCAAAATAAACATTAGCAAGAAAGGTCTTTGTAGTAGCATTGTGTTCCAACCAGCAAATACATTCAGCAAGATTCTCAAAAAGAGGAATTTGAAAGCCCCATTGATTCAAAATTTCCATTATTTGAATCATTTTATCACAAGTCACCGCCACATATGCAATATCTTCAGTTTTCGTACATCCTCTATGACATGAGTTCCCCTCCATTAATCTTCTATATTCCAAAAATTGGAAAGTAGGAATAGCTTTATGATATAATCTCCACCAAAAAACTTCAATCCTTGGATTAAGTTTGATTTTATTAATCCATGGACAGTAATTTTGCATATTTGAATCAGATACAATAGATTGAAATGATAATGCCGTCAATGATTTCCCATAATTCTGAAGAATCAGCTCCATTTGATCCTTGTGACACACTAGATCAATTTGAATTTTGCAAATAATCTCTATCAGTTCCTCTCCAAACACCTGATGAAGCTTCTCCATGTCCCAACCACCATTACTAACAAAGTAATCTACTGTTAACTCGTTACTTTGTAGATTAGCAAGAAAAGTAGGCCACTTGCTTAAAGCTTTGTCTAATACCCAAACATCTTCCATGACATTAACATTTTCCCCATTGGATATTTTCCATCTTACAATTGGTTTAAGAGCCTTTGCACCACTCAAAATGATTTTCCAAGCAATTGACATATTCTGTTTCCTATTAGGATTCCAACATGATGTGCCATATTTCGGTTTGAAGGCTTTATGCAGAAAGGAGTCTTCTTCATTCATAAACTTCCATGCAATTTTTGCTCTTAAAAGCATCCACCTTTCTCACACAAGAATGAAGACAACGTCCTCCTAAATGATATGGTCTACACAAAAATTCCCACTAACAAAATATAAACCATTTCAATTCTCCTTCTTGTGCCAAATAAAATCTCTTCAAGCTTTATCAATTTCAGCTAAAACTCCAACCGGTAGTTGGGAATGAGTGCAATGAAACACCGAAATTGACAAAATAGTAGATTTATCAAGAGTAAATCTCCCTGATAGAGAAATAAATTTGCTTCCCCAAGTATTCAACTTTCCAATAACTTTTTCCAACATGAAATTGAAGTTTGATGCCACAATTCTTCTCAAAGAAATCTTAACTCCCAAGTAATAGAATTCTTTAACAGATTTAAATCCCATTACCCAAGCAATACTCTATTTCCTTCTTCTACTCACAACATTCCTGAATGGAATAGAATATTTATTATAATTTATCTTTTGTCCAGACCAATTACAATAATCCAATAGAATACCTCTAATCCTCTTTACCAACTTCATATTAGCTTTAGAAAAAATAAAGATATCATCTGCATAAAGCAGATGAGATATCCTAGGAGCATTAAGGTGTATTTTAATCCCTATCTCATTTTCCTCTTGAATTAAAGCATTTGATAAAATTTGGGAACATAAAACAAAGAGAAATGGAGATAAGGGACAACCTTGACGAAATTCACTATGAGCACATATCAACTTTGAAGAGTTCCCTTTAATCAAAATAGAGAATCTTAGATTTTCTACACATTCTAAAATTAATAAGTTTTGAAAAGTGCAAAGGAAAGCCAAAGTATATCAAAATCTGCTCCAATGTTCTCATGCTATCATATGCTTGCTCCATATCTATCTTGAATGAAACCAATCCTTTTGTTGATTTAGAATATCTGAATTTGTGAAATATTTCTTGAGCAATTAAGACATTTTCTGATAAGGAACTGCCTTTAATGAAAGCTGACTGATTTTCAGAAATTAGATTAGGAAGCATAGCAACGAATCTATTGAGAAGAATCTTAGCCACAAGTTTATAAATTGTTCTACATAAACTTATTGGCCTAAAATTTGAAGGTATCATTGGCATATCCACCTTTGGAATGAGCACAGTCAATGTATCTTTTCAATTGGTTCCAATGTACCCGTAGAGAAAAAAAGTCTTAAAGCATTCCAAATATCCAATTTAATGATAGACCAATAAGATTTGAGAAATGAATGAGTAATACCATCCACACCTGGTGAAACACCTCCCTCAAATTGATTGACAGCTGCTAAAACTTCCTCCATAGTAAGCTTGGTATTAATGGCTTCTCTATCATAATCTGTCAACATACTTCGCGGGTTTTGCCAATTGTTTAAAGAGTAAGATATATATTCCCACTTTGTTTGAAAGAATTTGAAAAGAAATGTTTTCAATTTGAAATTGACCTTCTACCAAAACTCTATTTTCGTCTTTAATCTTAAAAATATGTTTTGCATTCCTTCTAACAATAACAAAACAATGAAAAAACTTAGAATTCAAATCACCATCTTTATCCATTTTACCTTAGCTCTTTGTCTCCACCATGTGTTTAACCGAGCTAAAGTACTGTTGAGCTCATTAATTTTTTATCTAAGAACCAAGATCTTCTCCTCGGAAAGATTTCCAACAAAAGATTCCTCCATTTGCAACTCTAAAATCTCCCTAGTCATATTGTCCTTCAATTGATTGAGGTATGTATTAAATTTGCTCCTTTTTATAATTTGGCCCATTTAATATCATTTAGTGCTCTCATTATAATTGAGGGCTACTATGATCCATACCATACCATGATATATCTACAACGGAGTTTAAATGGTACGCGGCAAAATATTAACAAAGGAAAATGTGCATAACTTCAAATTTGCAGAATAATCTATATTTAAATATTAAAGAAAAAAATCTTATTAGTTTGAATTTTTATTAGCCATTTCTTGGAATGACAGAAACTCCCCTATACAATTTTTTTCAAAAGAAAAGCGTCAATAGATTTGGGATTAAATCAAGAGAAAAGCTATGAAAATATTAAAAGAGCTATATCAAATAAAACAAAACTAGTATAAAATAAAAAGATGTGTGCAATCCATCAGAGCTTGTAAATAGTAAACCCAACAATGAAAAATTTTTTATATTATCGTAAAGATGTGATTGAAATTTAAGAGAGAAATTTTAAAAATATTCTTAAGCTATAGATGTTTAAAATAATAATGTGTAACTAAACAATAGCAATTCTAATAAAATGGCAAACTCAAACATCATAATGCAATGCATAGTTAGAAGATTTCATAGTCATAAAAATAACATCATAAATCTAATAAGTAGTCATAACTAACATATATTGTGAATCAAAATACTTTGATAGTACGGCAGATGGATCAAAGATTAGACAAATTTTATAAACAGGCCTCTTAATAATCGTTATCAGGCATAACACCATCGCCCGACAGAAATTTTAAAACAGCTTTAGTCGTTGGTCGTGCTGGCGACTGGGTGCTGAGTTCGCCATAGTCGCTGGCCGTGCCAACGACTATTTTTATTTATTTTATAACAAATTAACGGGGAGGAAGTGGAAGTAGGAGTTTTTTTCTTTGAATTTTTTTTTTTTTTGAAGAGAATTTTATTGGGTTAAATTATTTTTGCATCTTTTTCTAATAATAATAATTAAGTAGACAAAATTCTCTCCAAAAATAATTTCTTGAAACCCCGCATAGACGTTGGATTTGTTGAAATTTTAATATTATTACTAAAATTTAATATGAAGTTATGATATACAAAAAGAGCAGTAACTTGGCCCTAATATGAGCTTCGTATCACAGTTTAAGAGGATAGCAACATTTATTATCATGATGCCATTTAAGTTCAATATCCATCTCCTTTGTAAGTTTCTGACTAAGTTACTTATGCATACAAATTTTAAATCCTAAAAAGAATCATTACTCCACGATTACGATTGTCATGCCAAATATTTTTTAAAAATTAAAAATCTCAGGAATTATTAAATCCAAGTTAAATCTTACTTGTAGCCAAAACATAATATATAAATCGATAGTGATATAAAAATATTAAGTGATACTAAGGTTTCGTTTGGGACGATTTTCTTACTGCTTCTTAAATCAATTTTTTTGCAAAAAAATAAATTTTTTTTTTATTAAAAAACTGCTTTACGATGAAGTAAGAAATTCATCTCAAACAAAACCCGAAAGTGCATCTAGAGAGAAGTTCCATATCTGGTTGCTTCGTCGAGATCTCGGGCAGCCCGCAAACGAGAAAGGGGGATGTGATGAAGTTCAAAAAAGAAAAAAGAAAGTGTAACTTGATTCCCTAAGAATGCCGACCAAGCAAGCCATGCCTTAATGAATTCATCTGCAATCATTTACCAAAAAAAAAAAATTCATTATTAGGCCACGTACAATTACAATTTCTCACAATCCCATCTTATACGGTGAATTATTGCATCCGATCACCTGACATGCAGACAACCAATCCGGATGTGCCACGTCACTCAAATACATCGGGCCCGATGTATTTTACTGATGTGGCGCATCTGGATTGGTGTCCGGACGAATCCGAACACCGAACGCAATAGTTTGCCCATCTTATACATTCAAATATTAAAGATGGCAATTGGCATGCAGGTTGCTTACCGGAGCTGTTATGGTGTCTTACGGGCGGTGAAGATGACGACGGTCGTAGGACTTGAGGTGGGCCCCACAGAAGGTGCAAATGATGGCACGCCATGTCCGCCGGTAGACCGGCACGTAGCAGAACCTGGTGGCGGTCTCCATGTCGGCGACGCTCGCCCCGCCGCCGCATCTCGAGCAGATCCCCGCAGCCGGCTTCGAGCTCCTCACCATCTCTCTGGTGTCCACTAAGAAGCAGAAGAATACCATCCCCTTTCCTCCTCGCTGTCCTCCGCCGCCTCCTGAATTCAGCCGGTTTTATGTTTTTTTTTTTTCCTCTTGCGATTTGGATTTCGAGGCACGAGGAAGAGGATAAAAAGCGGGGAAAGGATCTGCCTCCCTAATATTAATGAGCCAGCCTTCATGAGAAGGTGCCAGTTAACTCTTATTGGATACATCCTTACCTAACATTATTAATGAGCCAGCCTTCCTGAGAAGGCGCCAACCAAGAATGTTTATTATTTTTTAATTATTTTTATTATTAGTTTATTGTTAGTTTGTTATTATTATTATTATTATTATGTTATTATTTATTTATTTATTTTATCATTTTATTTATTATTGTTATTATTATTATTATTAATATTATTTAATACTTAATATTTTTTAATATATTATTTATTTTATTTTATAAATATTATTTAATTATATTTATTAATTAAATAAGTTATCTATTATTTATTTCTTATTTATTTTTAATATTTTTTATTTATTTATTATTTAATTTACTTAGTTCTTTATTTTTAATATTATTTATTATTATTTATTAAATTATTTATTTTATTAGTTTTTTTGTTTTTTTATTAGCATTTATTTTATTTATTTATATAATTTTTAGTATATTATTTTATTTTATTTATTATTTTTATTTTATTATTTGTTTATTTTATTGATAATTTTATTTTATTTTTATTTATTATTTAGTTAATTTATTATTATTAATTGGTAATTAATAATAATAATATATATTAGTTATCATATTTATTATTATTATTTATTTTATTTTTTAGTTAGATTTATAATTTTTATAATTTTTATTTTTTTATTTACTTTTATTCATTATTTTATTTAGTTATTATTTAAATTTTTTTTATAATAAATTATAATTTAGTTTTATTATATTATTATTTTATTTTATTATTTATTAATTAGTCCTTAGTGTTTATTATTAGTTATTATTTTATTTTATTTATTTTTAGTTATAATTTTCATTTATTAAATTAGTTTAGTTATTAGTGATTATTATTTTTATTAATATTTTATTTATTTATATTAGTTAGTTTTATTATTTATTTATTATTATTTTTTATTTATTATTTATTCTTATTTTATTTTATTACTTACTTAGTTATTTATTATTTTTAGTTATTTTGTTTATTATTTTATTATGATTTTATTATTTATTATTTTTATTGTTTATTAATTATTTGTATTTATTTATTAGTTATTATTTTTTGTTATTTATTATTTATTTATTATTTATTTCTTTATTATTATTATTAATTATTAGTTTATCCAATGTTTATCCATTCTTGGAAGATCCTAAATTATTTCAATTATTGTTAGCTTCTTTAACATCATTCAGATCTGTTTATTTCTTGTAAATTTTTCTCAACATTCTTTAAATAATCATTTAAAGAATTTTTAAGAATCTATTCTTTAACCAAATTTTTTCTTTGATTTTCTTGATTATGACTTTTTCTCTTTTAAAGAAGGATTAAAAGAAACAAAAACACTCAAATCATTATCATGTAATTTTCAATAATTGTTGATATATAATCTAAAATTTATATTGATCGGACACGAATCTTGAAGCAAAATTAAGTTGAAAGCTTCTGAAATTAAATCAGGAACCATCCAAACACTGATTTTAGCAAACTTACACTCTAACTGAACATCTCAAAAATATGAACCTAATGACACCAAATTCGATTCAATCCAAGCCAAAATGTGTCCAAATCAAAGAACCAGAGCGCATTAGGAAGGTTCAAACCATAATTTGAATTACCAAACAGTTTCCAAACATGACATGCATATAGTCAAATCGAGCAACTAGATGAGATAAATCAACATGCCCAAGATCACTGAATTCTGATATCATTAAGGCATTCAAATGTCCATTAAATTGTCCATGATCAGGGGGAACAATATCAACCGTCCATTCAAACCACTCCCATTTGGACCTCAATCCTCCACATGCAAGCCATGCAACACTCCAAAAACTATAAATAGTCTCCACTTTTATCATGTATGAGGGGAGGAGGAGAAAGGAGAAGGAGAAGGGAAGAATTTAGGAGAATGCTTGCCGCCGACCACCGCTAGAATTCTTCACAACCACCCACTACAAGAAAATCAAGGTTTACCGACGGTAATTTTGGCGGTCATATGACCGCCAGAATTACGAGTGGTTAAACCGGCTATCTGACTGTCGGTATTTACCTGCGGTTTATACGACAGTTTTAAATAAAACACCGCTTGAATTATTGGCGGTATAATAACCCCCGGCTAAGCCGTCGATTTTTTATTTTTGCGGCAACTTTCCCGGCGACCAAGCCGCCAGTGTTAAGTAATTTTTTACGGCGGTTGATAGAGCTGGAAACCACTGGAAATTACCCTAATATTGGCCAAACCTGACATTCCTCTTTATTTGTTGGCATATCCATTTCTCCAGACGCTCGCTTGTGATCAAGCCTCCGAGTATCTCCGCAGGAATCTGGCCACCGACACCCTTTCATCGGCCAACAATCTCACCCTCACTCTGGCCACCGATTACGCCAGCATTCTATCGCCAAAAGCCATCGATCGAGCACTCCAGAAACACCCCAAAATGAATGTTTGCATTTTTTCTTTTTCTAATGTGTCATAATTTAACTTTCAGAGAAATTTATGGAGCATAGATTGTGGCGTAATGCTAATGTTTCGCAAAATCAATTTGGATTCATACTAGGTAGGTCTACTATGGAAGCTATGCATTTTTTTTATTATGTTTGATGGAGAAGTATATTGAGAATAAGGAGGATCTACACATGTTATTTATTGATTTAATGAAAGTATATGATAAAGTTTCAAGAGAAGAGCTACAAAGAGTTATAGAAAAGAAAGAGGTTAATAATGCTTATATTCAAGTCATTAAGGATATGTATGCAATAGTTATTACTTCTTGGATTACGTCAAGGATCGGCCTTAAATCCATATCTTGTTGTTTTAGTCATGGATGTTCTCACTAGAAATTTGTAAGAGGTTGTACCTTGGTGTATGCTTTTTGTTGAAGATATTCTTTTTGTTTGAGTATGTATTTTAAATAATAGTTATTGTAGAGGGATTGTGACCATGAGTGATCAAGTCATTAGAAAGAGTATATATTTTAAATATATTCGGTATATTATTTTAAGTTATGGTGAAATACATAGGGTTATTATTAGAAGAATTCAAGTTGGATAGTTAATGTGGAGGAATGTTTCAGACTTTTTGTGTCATAGAAAAGTCCCCCTCAAACTTAAGGTAAATTCTATAAGATGGTGGTTAGACCTGCTATGCTTAAATATCTTATTCAAATGTAGGTATCAAACCCTAAACTATTATTGGATGGTTGGTGAATGCATTCCAATTCAAGTAAGCACACTTGTTCAAACATATGTATCAAGCCTTTATCCCACTACATGGTGAATGCATTCCAAACCCGATTGGTGAATGCATTCCAAATCTGGTTAGGAGAGTAAATGATATTTCTTTCTTAGATTTAAATGAGATTTAAGGCTGCATATCTTCTAATAATTGATTTCACAACTATATAGGGAATATTTGATTTAACATCCAAATAACTATCTAATAAGAGAGATATTGAATGTATAAGAAATTATTATAGGGTCGAAGAGGATTGTCAAATGAATTTATACAGGGAGTTGAGACTTTTATTTAAGTTGCATTTCAACTACCTTTCTTTAAGTTCAATGGAATGTTTAGATGTCCATATTTGAAGCACAAAGATCAAGCATTCCTTAAGGATACTGATATGAACGTTGATTTATATTATAGGGGATTTGTTCATGACTATTGGATTTGGACCTCATATGGCGAGTATGAGCCACACAGAGATACTAATGCCAATCTATCCATAGCTTTTGAAACATTTAATAACGATCAAATGACTAGATCGTATGAAGAACTTATTTTTGATATAGCACGTCTGAATTTAAGGGCAAGTATAGAAGAGTTACCAAATACAAAAAAAAAAAATCGAGTTACTATTCTAGCTCAAAAATAAAATTGGGATGGTTATAAAACTCATCTAGAATTATTGATTGCAGTGAGGATGCTAAGTATCAAAATTGAATATAATATTCTTCGTGATTATTTCAATGACTTCATTGGTCATCTCAAGTAAACAAATCCAATGAACAATTTAATCTCCTCAGATTTATACCGAATGAAGAAATTAGTATCCAAGTTGGATCTCACTACTACAAAATTTAATTATTATATCAATGGATATATGTTATACTACAAAGATAATACAACGGAATTTTTTTATCGCACCTACAATGCGTATCGATAGATACCAAATTAGATAAAATAATATCATCAAAAGAAAGATGTTTTATATTTTCATTTATTTTATTTACCGATCATTACAAGACTTTAGTGGCTCTATGTATCAATGAGTTCAGCAGGTCATATGAGATGACATAAGAAGAAATTAGCAAATAGTAGTGTTCTTTCTCATTCATCAGATGCTGAAGCGTATAAATTTTTTGATCAAACACATGCTTCATTTGCTACTGAGCCACGCAACATAAGATTAGGATTATGTGTTGATAATTTTACTCCATATAGTCAAGTAGCTTTACTGTACTCTTATTGAACAATTATACACTATAATTACCTTCCACTAGAGATATATATGACTACCCCTTACATATTCTTAACACTTATAATACCTGGACCACATAATCTAAAAGTAATAATTGATATTTTTTGCAATCACTAATTGAGGATCTCAAGTTACTATGGGAAGAAGGTATTCTCACATATGACATATCAACCAAAAAAAAATTCTCCTTCGAGCTATATTGCTTTGGACCATTTGCAATTTTCCAGCTTATGATATGTTGTTTTGTTAGAGCACAAAAGAAAAATTAGCTTGCTATTACTACAAGGAAAATACTAAAGCTTTCACACTAAAACATGGAGGAAAAAATAATTGATTAGATTGTCATCGTATGTTCCTACCTGCTGATCATCCGTTTAGAAGGAATAAGGAAGCA